TTGGCGCCTGACCTAGGGAACCAATAGGGAAGCTGAACCCTTTCAAACTGGGAAAAAACTGCTTGGGGTGGGGTCTTTGTTCTCTCCGCTGCAGAGAAACAGGGCAGCAAGTGTGCTGTAAGTGTGGGCCAGGTGTGAAAATCATCAGCATCATACCTTGACTTTCTCATTTGAAACTACAGACATGTAAGTAGAACAGGAATGTTTAGACAGACGCGATTGGGTTTATTTTTTGTTTTGTTTTCAGTCTTGTTGATTCCTCTGTGCTAACCTCAGGTGCTTTTAAGACCATAAGACCATAAGAACGGCCAGATTGGGTCAGACCAAAGGTCCATCCAGCCCAGTATCCTGTCCTCTGACAGCGGCCAGTGGCAGGTGCCCCAAAGGGAATGAACAGAACAGGGAATCATCAAGTGATCCATCCCCTGTCACCCATTCCCAGCTTCTGGCAAACAGGGGCTAGGGACACCATCCCTGCCCAGCCTGGCTAATAACAATTTGTGGACCTATCTTCCATGAGTCTATCTATCTCCCTTTTGAAGCTTTTGTTTGCTTTGTAATCTTTAAGCTGAACCCCAAGAAAGCTATTCTTGCTGCTTAATTCTTGTAGTTGCTCTTTTAATATCTAGCAATAACCTAATTTTCCAAATGTGTTTTCTTTCTTTTTTCAATAAAAATTCCCTTTTTTAAGAACATGATTGAATTTCTGTGTCTTAGGAGGTAAAGAGGCTGTGCATATGTTAATCAGCTGATGGAACAGCTGGGTTCCCCTTTCCTGTTGTTTTCTTTCATGGCTTCCCAGAGGGAGGGGTGGAAAAGCTGACGGGCCTCAGAAAAAACTTCCCAAGTAAGTTTTTTCTGGATTTGCAAAAGGCAGTTTTCACTTGGGTGGTGGCAGCATTACCAGCCTGGATTGGCAAGTATTAATTTTTGATTCCTTGCAGACCCCCGCCTTCTGCAGTGGAAGTGCCAGAGTGAGGAATCAGCCTTGACACCCTCAAATACTCAACCCTGAAGACTGATGCAAAGAATAGTTTCTCCACAATGGCCTTATCATCCTTGAGTGCTCCTTTAGCATCTCGATTGTTCAGTGGTCCCACTGGTTGTTTAGCAGGCTTCCTGCTTCTGATGTACTTAACACTTTTTTAGTTATTACTTTTTGAGTCTTTGGCTAGCTCTTCTTCAAACAATTTTTTTTTTTTTTGGCCTTCCTAATTATATTTTTACACTTCACTTGCCAGAACTTATGCCCTGCTCACACTGAGCACACCAGGTCTTTCCTCCCCCTGATAGAGCTGACTTTGCCCCACTGGGTCTGGGTCGCGGGGGTGGCAGGTTTGTGTCCGAGCTCACACCGGCTTCCCCGCACAGTGCCTCTCTAGCAGCGCAGTGATACCAGGCGATGTCCTCTCGTTTCACGCTGCTCTTTCCCAGGTACAGCTCGCTCTTGGCTTTGTCTCTGGACAGGGTGAAATGCCCTTTCACCGAATCCATGTAACATTGGACAGAGCCATGGTGTAAATAAGTGAGACAAACTCCGGGCTTTTTCCTGGATCTGCTGGTACCAGTACGTTTTATAGCTGCTGAAGGTGAAGCCTGATCCTTTATAGGAGAGCAGGATGAACTCCCCTTCATTTCTAATAGCACCCCCAGACTCCACCAGCTGCATCTGCGACTGGACACCTGCTGGAGAAAACACTGTAGCACAGTGACCATTACTAATACCTGTTGACTCTCACTAGAGTGATAAGGGGCCTCTAAGCCACATACATAGACAGAAAAACAAATTGCTAGATAATACAGTAGAGAAAATCATAGATGGGGACTGAAAATAGTAGAGGGGAAGTGCGGATGGATAGAGGGATAATACAAAGGAGGAAAAAATGATTGTATAGAGAGATAATATGGTATAGGAACAGTGGATGGATTAATAGATAGTGGGGAATTGGAAACATACAAATAGATGAGACAATTATGTGCATGGAACGTTGTATAGATTAGTCTGTGAAAGAAAGAAAGAAAGAAAGAAAGAAAGAAAGAAAGCATTATGCCTAGATGCATGCAAATGAATGGAGATAGATAGATAGATACTAAGGAGGTGTTGTGACGAAGTGGGACTGTTCTTAATGTTTCCTCTGAATAGTGTGGGGGTGCCTCAGTTTCCCCTATGCAGTTCTTAAGTCTCTAGGGGGTGGGATAAGGGTGTATGATCAATGCAGAGCCCTAGAGGGCAGGTGTGTGCAGGGATCTGGACACAGAGAATGGCCGACACCCTGTTTCCTGGCAACTGATGGCCTGGGCCCTTCCCCCCTGCAAGGTGAGAGCTAAAGGGTTGGAGAACAAAGGAATCAGGTGATCTCCTGGCCCGGGGAAAGGTACAAAGCCCAGGAGAGGAGGGGCTGGAGGGAGTTTCAGTTTGGGGCTGGCTGGGACATGGAGTGAAGTGCAGACGTGGTTGTCTGTCTCACTGTCCCCCAAAATGGACCCAGCTGAGGGGTCCTGTTCTCTGCTCCTGCAAGCTCTGTTTTAGACCATGTTCCTGTCGTCTAATAAACCTCTGTTTTACTGGCTGGCTGAGAGTCACGTCTGACTGCAAAGTTGGGGTGCAGGACCCTCTGGCTCCCCCCAGGAGCCCCGCCTGAGTGGACTCTCTGTGGGAAGCGCAGGGATGGGCAGAGGATGCTGAATGCTCGGCGGTCAGACCCAGGAAGGTGGAAGCTGTGTGAGCTGTGTGTCCTGAAGACCGGCTGCTCACAGAAAGGACACTTCCCCAGAGTCCTGACTGGCTTAATGGGGAACAGTTCCAGAGCATCACCCAGGGACTCCGTGACAGGTGTATACAGACAAACAAAGACCTAAATACACTCTCCAATTAAAAGCACATAATCTGTAGGTTTACTGTATTTTCAATCATTTTCTCACCTTTCCAAGCCAGTAAAATGAACACAAACTGTACCCACACAGACATTGCTCACTGAGCTGGAGGGTAAATTCTCCCTGTAGAGATAAGGAGAGTTTAGACCTTAACTGCAAAAATACAACAGGGGGGCCCTCTTCTGTTTATTGCAGCCTCCAGACCTGGCTGCGGTTTGGAAGGGAAACGAAGTCACGCCCCTTCCCACACCCTGCCCCTGGAGTGGGGCAGAGACTCCGGTCTGATTGGGTGTCAGGATGTCCCGGGAACAGGGCCGGAGTTAGGCTCTACAGGACCTTTTTTTATCTCAGATTTGCCTAGGGTTTTATGCAGGGGAAGCCAAAGCCATAAGGATTGAGATCCCAGTAATTGAGTGGATTTCACCCTGAATACAGATATTGGACTATAACCTATGGACTATTTCCAGAAGAACTCTATGGGAACACAAGCTCACCATCTCTGCTCCGTATCTGAACCTCAAGAATTGAATTCATGTCGGTAAGTATATTGATCCTTTAACCAACATTCTCTTTTCTTTTTTTAAAATAAATTTCAGTTTAGTTAGTAGGAATTGGATCTAAGATCTTTTGGGTAAGATCTAAGTTATAATTTGACCTGCGTGTGTGGCTGGTCCTTTGGGATCAGAACTTTTTCTTTTGTATGATGGAATAAGATTTTCAGGAATCCTCATCATATTTTGTCCTGGGTAGCTGGGTGGAGGCCTGGGGCTGGGTACTTCAAGGGAACTGCATTGTTGGGACTGCTGAGTAACCAGCGAGGGAGTACACAAGCCCTTGTGTGCTGGCTGGGTAAATCTAAATATTGAAATATCCACTAGCTTTTCGGGTTTGTTTGCAGTTCACCCTAATTGAGCGACCTCAGCTGGCTCCCACTGGGACCACCGTCACACTATCTAATCTATCTATCCCCATCCACCCCCTCTATCTAATCTATCTCATACACCCCCTTAGCTAGCTATCAGACCCCTCTCTGTATTGAGCTATCCTGTCCATCCGATACACAACAGACATGGGCAGATGCATCCCATATACACACGCCTCTCTCTCGTCCTGAAATATCTACAGCCCAGCACAGCAGGGCAGACCCGGACCCCGCTGGCTCACTCTCTTTCCTGCTGTATGGAGTGCAGTTGTAGCCACCACGGTCCCAGGATATCAGACACAAGGCGGGGGAGGTAATATTTTCTATTGGACCAACTTCTGTTGGCGGGACAGAGACAAACTCTGGAGCCCCACAGAGCTCTTCCTTGGGTCTCTTTCCTGCTGTGTTTCTCATGCAGAAGTTGACACGGACCTGTCACTATGCAGAGATGCTGTATCCCTGTTGGTCCCAAGATATTGGAGAGCCAAGGTGGGTGAGCTGATACCTTCTGGTGGATCTCTCTCTCTCAGCTACAGAAGTTGGTCCAACGAAAGAGATGGCCTCCCGCACCTTGTCCCTCGCAGAGGGGGGCTGAGAGAAGGGGACAAGCCAGGCGGGTTCAGCCCCGGAGGTGGGGCACAGAGGTTCCTCCCTTTCTGTCTGGGGGCTCCCTGTCTCTGTCTCACTGTCTCTCTCCGGGCGCAGTAATAGGTGGCGGTGTCCGCAGCTGTCAGCGAGCGGAGTGGCAGGTAGAACTGGTTCTTGGAGGAATCAGCTGAGAGAGTTATTTGGCCTTGGAGAGACAGGGCGTAGCATAAGAGCCACTCCGGTGGTACCAGTCAATCTCTCCCAGCCAGTCCAGCCCCCCCGGGGAAGCTGCCGGTACCAATCCCAGTAATCAGCAGAGACGGACCCACCAGAGATCGCGCAGGTGAGTGTGAGGGGCTCGGAGACCTGCCCCACCCCGGGGCCGGACGCCAGCAGCTGCACCTGAGAAAGGGCACCTGGAAACATAAATTAATAAACCAATGGACCTAGAGAGCAAAGAGTCTCCCGCACTCGCCCAAACTCCCCTCTCCTCCCCCCCCCCATTTCCCTAGTACTCACATGGGGCAAGGGCCAGCAGAGCAGCTAAGAGCCAGGTCATCATGCCTCGGACCAAAGCAAAACAGCCGGAGACCCGGACACCGGCTTCTCTCTCTGGGGAGAGTCTCTGAAACCCTCCGCAGCTTCTGCTGAAACCTGAGACCTAGAGCCAGAGGAGGCTGCAAACACTGTGCGACGCCTGGCGTCAAACGCTGTCTCCCTGGCACAGGGAGCGAGGCGTTCACAATCTGCAAAGCAGCGCGCTCGCTCTCCCGCGGCCATTCCTGTAACACACGCAGCCTTGCACTCTCACTGTATCTCGCTCAGACAGAGACTAGCTCGCTCTTTAACAGCCACCTGCCTTAACGTTAGGGCGACTCTCACTGTCCCTTAAGGGCCTAGCGGTGGGAAGGATTAACCCTTAACTGCGGTGTCACAGCGGATGCAGCTTCGCTCTCCTGCAGGCTGAGGGACAAGGCGGGTGTGACCCGGGAAATGCAACTGCCTCCCTGTACATATCCTGTGCGTTAAGAGAGGATTGTCAGTTCTCGCCGGCGGCCGGGTGTCCAGACATTAGAGAGGGCACCTATTGGGGGAACTACCGGGGTGATTTCCACACGCTCCCCGGCAGGAGACAACTGAAGACCAGTCCTGTTATTCACATTGTAGGTGCGCTCTGTCAGAAATTGCACCACTCCCATTTACCAATTAAATAAATGAAAGAACGAGTAAATAAAATTATTTTGCTCCCTCCTTTCCCACCAGAGACAACTAAGGTCCAGGCCTGAGTGACCAACACTTCAGAAGGGTAGTGACATCATCCCTTTAAGAGTCACCCACAACATGATCGCACCGCTTTTACCAACGGCGGGCGGGGGGGGGGGGCAATGAGTGTTTCCTCTTTTTCCATAAGAAGCAAATAATTCCCAGGCCTGAGTATTCAATCAGGCTGTCACAGTTTTTGGTTACTTGGAGGGATAATGGGAATTTGGAGGACGGAGTTAGATGGTAATTGCAGACATACAGAGCATTACGGTGTTGCTCTCTGGGAACTCCAAGGTCAGGGACATGTGAATGTGATGTTTGGTTTGGCACAGGAAACCCAGCTGCGCAGTCTACATCTCCTGTAACCTGATAGGCGAGTGTCAATTCCAGCTGACAAGAAGAGAGGGAGGAGGGTATTCCAAGACCCCCTTTGCAATATCATCATGTCCCCAAATGCTGTCAACCTTGAGATCTCCTAGCAGGGAAAGGGGTGCGGGGGAGGGTCCCTAAAGCATCTTTCCCTAATAATGTATCTCCGGCCCAGTGCTGAGCCCTATGTTCCACCACCAGGGGGCAATGAAGGGGGCAGTGTCCGATATTCCAGCAGCCTATGAAGGTCCCACGCAGACTGGAGCGCGCCAAAGAGAACAAGTGCTGCTCTCTAGTGGTATGTACTAGGGTAGAAGGCGCACAGTACAATTCAGGTCGGGGGGAAGTGCTGTACCCTACTGGCAGGGCTCGGGACAGCAGGTGCACACTGGTAACCCAGGTCGAGGCATGCGAATCTAAGACAAGGAGTGCGCACCTCTGAAAATGCCAATTCTGCTGATGACTCAGCTGGGGGAAGGTCAATGTGGTTCTATAGACTGAAAGGGTGTTTTTTATGTTTTTCCATTTTTCTGTACAGGAAGGAAATGGCATTAAAAATTATTTTAAAAGAATGTTAAGGTGGCAAAGTCAAGCCCTCGAACGATAGGAGATGCCAGAACTCAGGTTGCCCATGTAATCTTAACTCTGCCCCCTGGTCGGGACTGACACAAGACTTCACACACTGTTTTTTTCCTCAGGACTTCTGCCGCAGTCAGTGCCCAAGAAGGAGCCGCAGGGGAGTAAGGCGGGGCTGTGCAAAGAAGGGGACTGGTGCTGTCTGCAGCCCCCCTGCTCCATTTGTTGCGGACGTTGGGAGGTGTGTGCCAGAGACCGGGATAGAGGCTGTAGCTCTCCTAATGTAACTCAGCCTTGGCGTGTCTTTGCAGCCTTCACCGGGCTCCAAAAATTATACTTTCCTACGTGATGACTAAAGAGTTGAGGACATTTTATACTTGGTTAAAATCCATGTGATTGAACTTTGAGGTGTGACGTGCTTCCTCAGGGAGGCTGTGACAGGAACGAGAGGTTTTTGACTGAGCTCAGACCAGCTTCCCCTCATTGTGTGTCGCACAGTGATACAGGGCGCTGTCCTCAACTCTCAGTCTCTTCACTTGCAAGTGTAGCAAATTGCTGGGGTTGTTCCTGGAGATGGTGAATCGCCCTTCTGCTGAGTCCGCCTAATCCGTGTCAGAGCCAACCCAGTTAATATAAGAGACCCACTCTGGTCTTCCCCCGGGAGCCCGTCGGTACCACAGCATCGCATAGTCACCAAATCTGAACCCGGAGGCTTTGCACGAGTTGTTGATAGACTCTCCTGCCATCTTCAGGCCTCCCCCAGACTCCACCAGCTGGACCTGCAATTGGGCACCTGAGGACATAAGTAGGGGGGAGGGATAGCTCAGTGGTTTGAGCATTGGCCTCCTAAACCCAGAGTTGTGAGTTCAATCCTTGAGGGGGCCATTTAGGGATCTAGGGCAAAAATTGGGGATTGGTCCTGTTTTGAGCAGGGGGTTGGACTAGATGACCTTCTGAGGTCCCTTCCGACCCTGATATTCTATGATTCTATAACAGAGAATGATTTTAGCCTGGTACTCAGTAACACTGAGGCCTCCCGACCTTTTCAGGCCAGAATCACCTTGGGGCAGTGCTGCCATGAAAGCAACATGCCGCCAGAGGATCATCTTCTTCTGATTAGTCTGGGGGAAAATCTCCAGTGGGACTTGTTCAATGCAGGCACATGGGGCTGCAGCTTTTGCCCCCTGCAGGGTCAGGGACAGAGCGTGTGTGTGACAGGAAATGTTATTCCATTTGCATATGCTCCCTTCTTTAAGGGAAGACCAGTCAACCCCTGGGGGGTCCAGTAGGACCCTTGCCTTTGTGTAGCGGTTCATCATTACCAGATACACTTACCCTGAAGAGGATCAGTGTGGAAATCCAGGGATAATTTCCCGGCCGCAGAAACGAATCTCTGGTGTAGAGGCGCTTCTGTTTTTAATCAGGCTCGTTATCACCGATCCGGGGTTGCCAGTTCTGCCCGCAGTGACCAGTGAGCGCTCCCATTGGGTCCTTGGTGTAATTCAAGTCGGAACTGGGCATTTTCTTTCCAGCCTGGATAGCAAGAGAGCCAACATTTGGGATAGGTCCTCTCTTGGAGTAGACTCCCCACCTCGCTACTAGTTGTGTACAAAAATCTGGAGCCCTTTCCTTTGAACGTGTTGCTGGAGGAACAGGCCTTCCACCCAAGTGCTCAGGAAGGACAGACACAGTCTCTCACGATGCGCTGTGAAAGAATTCCTGCAGCAGCCCGGCTTAGTAGACGCCCGCAGGTTTGCTGGCGAACCCAGCAGAGTTCAGGTCAGTTCTCTGCTCTCACCCCCGGCTGTCTGTGTTTATATCCCTGCCCTGTGCTCTGAGAACAGCTCCTGTCCCTCCGGGCACAGATACACACCTTGCACCCCGAGAACGCACTACTCTGGACAAGGACGCCACTAAGGAGCTGCAGTGAGTGGGTGGGTGAGCAGCGGGCTATGAGTTGTGGGTGAGGGACACCGGCGTTCAGGGCGTGATGCTAGTCATGGGACGCTCCCGAATCCCCTGAGCTGAACGCAGCGAGTTTTTGTCAGAGCTCACACCGGCTTCCCCTCACCGTGTCTCTAGCAGCGCAGTGATACCGGGCGGTGTCCTCGGGTCCCAGGCGGCTCATTTGCAGATACAGCTGGCTCTTGGCGTTGTCCCTGGAGATGGTGAATCGCCCTTTCACGGAGTTAGTGTAATCTTTGCTCCCACCAGTGCCGCTGATCCAGGAGACCCATTCCAGCCCCTTCCCGGGGCGCTGCCGGTACCAGAACATGGTGTAGCTGCTGAAAGTGAGTCCGGAGCCCGTGCAGGAGAGCCGCCTGGAGCCGCCGGTGGTCGCAGCCCCGCCGCCGGACTCCACCAGCCGCCCCTGCGCCTCGGCCCCTGGGGAACAAGCCGGGGTGGGGGCGTGAGAGCTGGTGGGAACAATCCCCTCGGGTCAGGTCTGGGCAACGGCGGCAGCTTTGGCCACAGTCTAATGTAAGGGGGGAAACTTCTGTTCTCCCCAAAATATTTATGAGAAAAATGAAAACCCTTTGGGGGTTTTCAGCCGCCTCCTCTCAGACGAGACAAATACATGGTATGAAACCGGAAACAAAATCCGTGTGTCCCAATTTATTCCCGGGGAATCTCCCCTCCCCTCCCCCGCTCCGGTCAATCAATGGCAATAATCGGATCAGCAACCCCCCGATTCCCGCCACCCCATTCCAAGCACCTTTGGACGCTGCTGCGATGAAAGCAAAATGGAGCCACCACCGCATCGTCTCTGCGCGTCTGCGGCCAGTCCTCGCCCTGGGGACGGGTCCGGAGCTGCTCCCTGCACGGACAGAGCTTCTCCGCGGGCCGCACGGTCAGGGGCGGGTGGGACAGACCAGGAAAGAGAGTCTCTGAAGGGGAAACTTTGCATAGCCCCGCCTCATTTAAATTACCACTCGGAGAAACCCCGCCCCACCCTTGCTGAGCTAGTGACGAATATCCCAGGGAGGAGGGCGGCTAACTATCAACCACAGAAAGAAACTGCAGTTTCCACGGTACACATCTGATGAAGTGAGCTGTGGCTCACGAAAGCTCATGCTCAAATAAATTGGTTAGTCTCTAAGGTGCCACAAGTACTCCTTTTCTTTTTGCGAATACAGACTAACACGGCTGTTCCTCTGAAACCTATCAACCACAGGGCGGTGCTCAGTTTTCACCTGGCCAATTATGACTATTACCTCTGAGAGGGCCAGTTCACGGGTCACAAGAGTAGCAGCGGTGTTAGTCTGTATCCGCAAAAAGAACAGGAGGACTTGTGGCACCTTAGAGACTAACCAATTTATTTGAGCATCAGCTTTCCTGAGCTACAGGTCACTTCAGTTATTGCAGATACAAATACACTGAAAGCAGTGGAAGCTGCTGCCTGTGAAATCCGCCCTTTCCTTCGGGAACCCACCAATCAGGATCCGGGAGCCTAACTTCAACTTCCTACATTGGAAAAGTCTGAGCCCTAAGAGATCAGACAGTGGGCTGGGCCCCAGGTCGGACAGCCGGGTTTCTTTCCTAGTGGGGCAGCGTCAGATCTGCCAGCAGCCAGCGACATCTGACCCTGTCCGCTTTTGCTGCCCCCTGCCACAGCTCGCAATCCATCAAGGTCTCCCGGGACCCAGGGTGCAACAAAGAAAGGCTGACCCCTCACGCCCCCCAGAGGCCGCTTGGGAATCATCGACGTGAAGGAGCGCAGCCAAGAGCAGGGTGCGGGAGGGGTGGCACGCTGGTTGCCCGGAGGGGCGGGTGTGCAGCAGAGAACAGGGGGTGCTGCCCCCTAGGGGCAGGGACTGGGACAGCGGCTGCCTCATATTTGCTACCCCAGCTCTGACCTGACTCTGCAGCCCCACAAAAGTCTTGTCCGTCCCGCTCTGCTGGCAGCGCTGGGGACATTTTCTCCTTGGTTCAGTTCTGTGTGTGTCTGACTCTTCACCTGGGGTTTGCCCTGCAGCGGGCTGTGACTGCAAAGGGGATGTTTTTGTATGTGGTTAGATTCCCTGCCTGTCACTGTGTCTCTCACACAGTGATACACCGCCGTGTCCTCGGGTCTCAGGCCGGTCATTTGCAAATAGAGCAGGTTGCTGGGGTTGTCTCTGGAGATGGTGAATCGCCCTTTCACTGAATGGCCATAGTCCGCTGAAGTGCTATCGGGGTTAATGTAGGAGATCCACTCTGGCGCTTTCCCGGGAGCCTGGCGGTACCAGAACATCCAATAGTTTCCAAAGGGAAATCCGGAGGCTTTACAGGAGATGCGGATAGACTCTCCTGTGGTTTTAACACCTCCCCCAGACTCCACCAGCTGAATCTGCGAATGGACTCCTGCAAAATTAAAATAGAGTATTAATCCTCTCCACCGTAATACTGAGCTTCCCTCTGTATCCAGGCAAGGAATCACCTCTGGGAATTGCTGCCATGAAAGCGAGGGGTAGCCACAGCATCATCTCTTTTCTGACGATTTTGGAGACAATTCTGCAAGAGAGGGCGCAGAGAAGCGGGGGTGGGTGTGAGCTGCGGAGACACGTGTCTGTGCCGTCTCCTCTGCAGACCCAGGGGCGCCGGGGGTGTCTCACAGGAAATGTGGTCACTCGATTTGCACCCGCTTCGGTCTTCAAAAGGAGAGAGGAATAGACCGTAGTGGCTATGTGGTAGCAGCAGACGGAGCAGCAGTAACTTTACCCTCCTCTCTTTGTGACTTCCTTCCCCATGGGTATAACGAGGGCGCCGTGAGGAACCCTTCCTCTGTCTGCTCCAATTTCTTTGTAAGTTCTTCAGGGCAGAGACTGTCGCTCACTATGTGTCTCCACTGAGCGCTCATCGCACACGGGGTCGCTACACACACTGAAAACGGCCGGTGGGATTCCCAGTTCCCATTACAGTAAAACTGGTGAGAGAGGCAAGAACAAATCCCTGTGTTGGTTGTGAAATGTCAGCTGCAGGCCCCTGAAATCTGGCTCCGACCTCATCTAGCTGCCCCTGAGACCCTAGCTAAGGTCTGTGCTGTGGGTTCTGGCGGCTACTGTCCTGTAGCTGAGTTATAAAAAAGTGCCATGGAGAAGCGAAACAGGGAAAGTAACTGAAATACTTCTCCGATGGATTGTATTTACTGAGGGACAACCCATCCTAAATTCTCAATTACTGCGGGGCACGCTACACTCACTGCTATGTTTGCTTCCCACTTTTTATGAGTGAAGTACCCCAATAGTTGGATGCTAATATTTTAATTTCATGGTTAAATTTATTAACTTTAATTTGGGATATTGCAGATTATGTACTGTATGTATGTTGTCACTTTTAATCCAAACTTTGTACTTTGGGATAGTTTAAGCCTGGAAGATGATCCCTCACTCCCACAAACCTTGGGAGGCAGACCAGTCCTCATTTACAGACAGCCCCCCAACCTGAGGCAAATGCCAGAAACCACACACCACACAACAGAAACACCAATCCAGGAACCATCCCCTGCAACAAACCCTTTTGCCAACTCTGTCCTCATATCTACTCAAGAGACACCATCACAGGACCTAACCACATCAGCCACACCATCAGGGGCTCATTCACTTGCACATCCACTAATGTACACCACCATGTGCCAGCAATGCCCCTCTGCTATGTACGTTGGCAAAACTGGACAGTCTCTATGCAAAAGAATAAATTGACACAAAGCAGATGTCAAGAATTATAACATTCAAAAACCATTTTAACCCCCCTGGACACTCAATTTCAGACTTAAAAGTGGCCATTCTTCAACAAAAAAACTTCAAAAACATACTTCAACGAGAAATTGCAGAACTGGAATTCCTTTGCAAACTTGACACCATCAAATTAGGTCTGAATAAAGACTGAATGGCTGGGTCACTACAAGAAGTAATCTCCCATCAACTGTTGAGTATGGGCCATCCACCCTGATGGAATTGGCATCGTTAGCACTACAAAAAGTAATTTTTACTCTGTAGACATTCACACCTTCTTGTCAACTGTTGGGAATGGGACACATCCACCCTGATTGAATCATTGACCCCCCTCCCCCCCACTTGGTCAGGCAACTCCTGCCTTTTCTTGTGCTGTATAATTATACCTGTTCCTGTATTTTCCACTCCATGCATCTGAAGAAGTGGGTCGTAGCCCACGAAAGCTTATGCCCAAATACATCTGTTAGTCTCTAAGGTGCCACAAGACTCCTCCTTGTTTTTGCTGAAACAGACTAACAGGGCTATCCCTCTGAAACTCGTCACCATGCAAAATAGTGTCTTTTAGTGTATTCTACATTGGGGAAGTACAGTGGGAATAGAGGGGCACCCAGCTTCTGGCATGGGGCAAATATGGGGGACCCTGGTATGGGAGGAGGTGATAATGGGGCGACTCCAGCGGGGAAGAGCCAGGGGAGTCCCTGAAAAAAAAGTGGGGGTGGAAGGGAGGCATACTGGTAGTTTGTGTAGGGGAGGGAGTGATGCAGGAGACCCCGGGGTGAGCAAGACGCTGAGCCTCCACAAGGTAGGAAGTGTGCAACCCCCCTGCTTGTAAACAATAACACGCTTCTTGGTGCCCTCTGACACTTGGATCCCCTCCCCCTCCCCCCGGTGCACGTAGGGGAAATGGCTCATCCCCCTTCGTTTTCGAGACCGCCCCCCGCTCCGGCAGTTTGTGTCGGGAGCCCGGGACGCTCCGTAGCCCGGTGGATCCCAGAGAGCGCAGAAATACACCGCCGAGTCATCCCGCTGCGCCCCGTCTATGGACAGCGTGAACGATTTGACACCGGTGCTGAGCTCGGAGGAGAACCGAGGGGCACCGAACCGGGCTTGTGGCTCCGTGGGGGCTGGAAGCGCTCAGGATCTTGAGGGTGAACCTGTTGTTGGAGCTATCAACTTCCCCTACGAAGCGGCCCTGGAAGCCTTCTCCATAGTGGTCCCCTTCTCGGTAAATCCAGGTCAGGGGGCCCCGCTGCCCCTTTCTGTACCAGTTCATCCAATAGCTGTTCATCTCCCCTCCCTTCACACGGCACTGGAAGGCCACTTCCTCGCCCTCCCGGACTGCCAAAGCCTGGGCACCTTGTTCCAGCACCACATCACTCCTGACTACTGGCGAGAGAATAAAGCGTATTAATCAGGCAAAGAGATTAACTGCCCGTAAGGGAGCAATAAGGGAGAAGGATAAACGTCAGCGGAGATGGCTGAAAAGTATCTGGCAAGGCAAGAATTATTCTGTGTAACTGAAAATCTGGAGAGAATTTAACAGCTTCACAACCAGTTAAAGATGAAGAAAACAAGAAAATAAAAACAAAAACCTGAAAATCCACCTAAATACAGAAAACACATTAAAAAACTGAAACATAAACACCTGGAAACCACCCTAAAGGAAAAACAAACAAACAAACAACAACGACAACAAAAACCCTACCTCAAACACAAAAACATGGAAACCAACCTAAACACAGAAAACACACACAAAACTCAAACACAAAAACCTGAAATCAACCTAAACACAGAAAACACACACAAAACTCAAACACAAAAACATGGAAACCAACCTAAACACAGAAAACACACAAAAACTTAAACACAAAAACCTGAAAGCCAACTTTAAAAGCACACACACACACACACACAAATAAAGAGGAAAAGAAAAACACAAAGACAGGAGCACTCTAAATTCAAAATAAACACTGAAAACACACAAAAATATCATAACATAGGAACAAAAAACCACGAATATGAAAACCTGAAAAATAAAATAAAAAGTGAAAAAGGAACAAACTGAAAAAAGCCAAACACAGAAAAGAAGAACATAAACACCAGAAAAGCTCCATCAACACGGAAAGCACAAGAAACTCAGACACAGTAAATTCATACACAAAAACCTAAAAACCCAAAGAAAAAGCCAGAACAAACCCAAACTCAGACAGCAAGTGCAGAATTAGGGCTCTGTGCAATTGTGTTTTTTGTTTACTTCCGCATAAGTTGCTGAGAAGCAGCAGAAGGCAGCAGCCCCTTCTCATCTCTGCAAGAAAACGAACACCCAAGAGTTTCTCAGTCATCCCCTTTGTCATACAAAAGTCACGTGCCCCTTCCTCTGCAGGCGCTGGCAGAGGATGGAGGTTGGCAGCAGTTCGATTTCTGGGTTAGCCTGGCTTCAAAAGCGACAAGATGGAGCTCCCCAGCCTTTGACGTCTTTAGCTCACAGGGTAACACATCGCGGCTCCGCTCACACCCCTCCGATCAGACATAGAGCAGCCAGATATCAAACAGCTCTTTCCCCTCTTAATACGGATCCTTCCAAACACCAGGTGGGCCTTTAACCTCCTCAGGACTGAAGAGAAAAGGAGAAATGCCGCACAACTGTTCACACAGACCTGGGCTCTGCAAAAGGCACCCAGCAAAGCATTTCGGCTGCAATTTTCAAAGAAATCTAAAGGAGTTAGATAGCTACATCCCACTGAAGTGCAGCCTGAAGTTCATACTGTTCTTGCTGTTGTTGTTTTAATCATCCTGGAAAAGATTTTTTTTTTTATAGTATGGTACATTTTTAAAGAGGAAAGGGATTCTTTCTTTCTTTCTTTCTTTCTTTCTTTCTTTCTTTCTTTCTTTCTTTCTTTCTTTCTTTCTTTCTTTCTTTCTTTCTTTCTTCTTTCTTTCTCCTGTTTTTGTGAAGACGGGAGGGGCTTCTTTCTCTTTCCTGGTTTATGTTGACTTTTAGACTTTTGTGCGTGTGTGTTTATTCTGTTTGAGTTTATCTTTTTGCATTCTGTGGTTGCCTTCTTGTTGTTTGTGCTGTACATTGTCGCTGTGTGTGTTTTGGGAATTTTTGCTTGTGTGTTTGATTTTTTTGCATTCAATTTTCTGGTTTTGGGGGGTGCTTTTTGCTTTTTCTCTATCTCGGTCTATGTTTTCTATGTTTCTTCCCTTTTTTGATTCATTCTTTGGTTTGGTTCTTTGCTTTTCATTTTAAATTCTCAGTGACAAATGTTTCCTCTTGCTCTAAAACACTATGTAGCCTTTAAATTTATTTCTAAATAGGGCCTTAAACTGTTCCCTGTTTTACAGGCTCAAAGAATGTGTTTCAGGAGAAAAATACCTTTGCTGTAACCCACTTTGAAAGTGGGTTAAGATAAACAGGAACAAAGCAACAAGGTCCCTTTGATACGAACTTCATGAGCTGCTCTCTCATCTCACCGGAAATAGGTGCTTTTCTTTTTTAGGTGCATGCCTTGTTCAATTTAAGGTGACTCATCCTGGCCTCATCCAAAGTCTTTTGAAGTCAATAGGCGTCTTTCCATCCACTTCAAGGGTCATTGGATCAGGCCCGTGATAGGAATATATTGCACCATGAATGTGGACAAGAATAAAGCTTATGAAAATTGTACAGCATTACACTATACCCAGGGACGACAAAACGAAATGCCCCATATCTCTTCTCAAGAAGGGAAGAGAGGTGATTCATTGTCATAAGAGTTAAGATATAAAGCAGAGAGAGATTATGAGAGAGAGAGAGAGAGAGAGAGAGAGAGAGAGAGAGAGAGAGAATGGATGAGAGAGAGAGAGAGAGAGAGAGAATGGATGCATTATCAGGTCCTAGCCACCAGGGAAACCAAATCTCCAACCACTGTGGATTTTATGTCTGAAGTGCTTTTGGACTCGGTAGGGTAGTCTCCTACAGCATTTGAGGAGGTGAGATATATGGTTTCAAGTATCTTTTCCAGTCCATATTCATCCAGTGATTTAAAGAAACAAATCCAGTCATTAAAGGACATTCTAGTCTACTCTAGTCTAGTCTCATTTCTTGTATTGTATTGTGCTCCCATATCCTGTATTGCACTCTCATTTCCTATATTCTAATAAATTCTGGATTGTAATTATAAATATAAACAAAAAAATGAATTTCCCAATAACAGACACACAAAGTTCTTCTTGACAATGCATGTGAAATTCATTACTGGGTACTGATAAACGAAGACATCTTTTAATTAAAATACACAATTTTAAAAGGAATAATAATTTCATAAAATTCACATTCTTGTAACATATAGCCACTTATTTTTAAATACCGATTTTTTACACAGTCATTTTTTCTGGTCTGTCATATTAAGACAACTTCTTTTTATTCATGATATCCAAAAATACAGTAAAAATAAACAGATATTTCATAACATTTATATTATATAGAGATATTTAATATATTGATTTTATTTGCACACACAATTCATTTTTCCAATATTTTAATAAAGACAAAATTTAGTTATTCAGGTAAACAATTAATATCCATAGGAACGTAGGACATAGGACTGGAAGGGATCTCCATCCTGGCTCATAGAACATTTCAGGTAATGCCATTTCATAAATTTATCAAGCTCCATTTTAAAACTAGTTTGGTTGTTCACGCCCACTCCTCCTATCACCTGTTCTATAACCTCACAGTCACTCCGCTAATGATTAGACATCTTCTAATTTCCAGTCTAAATTTATTCGTGGCCAGTTTATAACCCATTGTTCTTCTACAAACATTGTCCAGTAGCTTAAATAGTTCTTCTCCCTCCCTGGTGTTTATCTTACTGATACATTTATAAAGAGCAGTCAGATCCTCATAAGACAATAAGAACCGCCAGACTGGGTCAGACCAAAGGTCCTTCTAGCCCAGTATCCTGTCTTCCCACAGTGGCCATTGCCAGGTGCCCCAGAGGGAATGAACAGAACAGGGAATCACCCAGTGATCCATCCCCTGTCGCCCATTCCCAACTTCTGGCAAGCAGAGGCCAGGGACACCATCCCTGCCCATCCCCTGTCAGCCTTTGTTTTTCTAGGCTAAATAATCAATCGCCTCTCCTAAATTCAGCTCTCCATTTCCCTGAACATCTGAGTAGCCCTCCTCTTCCACTTTGAATTAATCTTTTTTGTACATGGGTGACCAGAACTGGACAATGAATTCTTTTAAATAACCACTTGATTTTATCATTATTAACGGACATGAACTTTCCATAGAAGGGTTTACAAATCTCATTCATAACCTGCATGTCTTGTCTTTACAAGACTCATTTGCCTTTGGTCAGTGTCTTGTCATTATCGGCGTTTCTATTCCGTTTGCAGTGTTGTGGTAGCTGTGTGGGCCCCGGGTAAGGAAGAGAGAAGGGGGAGATCTAATATCTTTTATCGGCCGAACTTTTTCTCCACAGAGCTCTGCGGTAGCTCTGTGGATATTGCCTCACTCACCGTGTCTATTTATTTTCTAACTTTCGGCCAATCTTCCCTGAGGAATTCAATCCAGCTCTAACCCCCGATATTGCTCGGCACTAGAATTCTCTTCCTATGGACATTTTTGCCCACGGTTGTCTTTAATCACCTGAGCTGCACCACTGAATTCAACAGGGGTCTTTCCATTGTCTTCAATGGTCTTTGGACCAAGCTCTCCTTGAGTGGCAGGTTATTGTTCAGGGTGTGACAAGAGGTGAACCATTGTGGGCTGCAAGGCACAATAATATACAGCACCATCTCCCGGTTGTAAAGTCCTGATGGTTAAAATGCTGGAGCTGTTGGCACGGTCAACAGAGAGTCCATAGCGTCCTGAATTTCTCTCCTCACTGTAGCTGTGAGTGATGTAAGTCAGTTCAGTGCTGGCCTTCCGGTAATACCAGTAAATGGAATCGTAATTCCCATCAGGAATGTCATGCTTGCATTGAATCTTTGCATCAGCCAACTCAGCACCGCTCTGGTCGGGGGACTGGGTTACTTCAGACAGGCAGATACCACCTCCGGGGAGGGAATGAGAGAGTGAGAGTTAAATACAAAGAAAAGGAATACTTGTGGCACCTTAGAGACTAACCAAATTAATCGGTTAGTCTCTAAGGTGCCACAAGTACTCCTTTTCTTTTTGCGAATACAGACTAACAGGGCTGTTACTCTGAAACCTAGAGTTAAATAAAACACTGACCAATAAATGTGGGCTAGCGATGCACAGCACAAGAGGAAAATGAACTGGACTTAGTCGGTTAGCTTGCAATGGTGATGACAGAGGAAGATGGTCTGGTATGGAAGGCACTGAGCTGGGTCTGAGGACACTGAATTTAACTTCAAGCCCTGCTACCAACTCTCTGGGTGACTTTCAGCAACTCATCTGGGCTGAGAACAGCAGACACCTACAAGATTTGGACACTCATTTCCCATTAAGAGTAGCAGAAGTTCGGCCTGTAAATCTCTTAGGCATCGTTGTAACTCTCCGTTGTATTCTCTCTGGGTCTCTATGTAAAACAGGGATAAAATAACTTCTTTTTTCCTTAAAGACTTTGTCTATTTAGGGCAGAGACTCACTACGTATCTGTACAGAGCTCAGCACAGCTTAATGGGGTGCTGATTTCAGTTGGAGGCAGTGGCTGTTACTATAACAAGATCGCATTTAAAAGAGACAACAGGCGGCGTTACTCACAGAACAGGGACAAGACGAGACAGCTGCGCCCACTCATGGCACTCTGACTGCCGGGTCTTCTTGTTCTGTTTGTAGATCGAAGCTCGCCGCTGTCGCTGGCGGTGGGGAGATAACACCGACAGACCGCGCCTCCGCACGCATTCAACCCCTCACCACTTCTGCCTTATCTGCAAAGATTGCATGGCAGTTTGGTTGCTATGGCAGTAAAGGAAATAGGGGATTAAGAGGGTGTTTTTTGAACATATCACAAGGTGTTGCTTATCAAAAGGTCTCGGAGTGGTAGCCCTGTGTCACGGGGGAGTCCAGGCCCTGCACCCCTCTTCCTGGGATTCACTGAGACTCTCAGCCAGCCAGTAAAACAGAAGGTTTTTTGGACAACAGGAACACAGTCCAAACCAGAGCTTGTGGGGACAACCTGGATCCCTCAGTCAAGTCCTTCTAGGGGAGCAGGGAGCTCAGACCCCAGCCCTGGGGTTCCCTGCGTTCCTCCACCCAGCCCCAAACTGAAACTATACCACCCCAGCAGGCCCCCTCCTGCAGCCTCTGTTCACATTCCTGGGCAGAGGTGTCACCTCCCCCTCCCCCTCCTGGCTCAGGTGACAGGCTCTCAGGTCTCTCATCCCCAGGGCACATTCCCAGGTCAACACTCCCCCCTCCCTGCTGCGTCACATCGTCACATCTCTCCCCCCTTCAAGACTGAACTGAGCAGGGTCACTCTGACCAGTGACCTGGGGAAGTTTGGGGCCCCCTCTCTGGGACAGCGCATCTGCTATCATGTTGGCACTTCCCTTCACGTGGACAACGTCCATGTCGTAATCCTGAAGCAGCAGGCTCCATCTCAGGAGTTTGCCTTTGGCTCCTTTCATCTGGTGCAGCCAGGTCAGGGGAGAGTGGTCGGTGTACACGGTGAAGTGTCGCCCGAAGAGATAGGGCTCTAGTTTCTTGAGGGCCCACACCATGGCCAGGCACTCCTTCTTGATGGCCGCGTAGTGTTGCTCTTGCTCAGGTACACGATGGGGTGTCTCTCCCCCTTTTCATCCTCCTGCATTAACACCACCCCCAATCCTGTGTCTGAGGCATCGATGAACACCACAAAGGTCTTGTCAAAGTCTGGGTTTGCCGGAACTGGGCCACTGACCAGAGCCTCCTTCAGCGCCCGGAAAGCCTCCTGGCACTGCTCGGTCCAGACCACCTTGTCTGGCTTCCCCTTCTTGCATAGCTCAGTGATGGGGGTGGTGATGATGCTAAAGTGGGGCAGAAGTCTTTGGTAGTATCCTGCCATCCCAATAAAGGCTTGGACCTGCTTTTTGGTGTGAGGAGAGGGCCAGTCTCTGATCACCTCCACCTTGGCTGGTTCCGACTTTAGCCGGCCGCTCCTCACCCGATGGCCCAGGTAAGATACTTCCGCCATCCCCACCTTGCACTTCTCCACTTTTACAGTCAGCACAGCCCCCTGGAGTTGGTCCAGCACTTGTCTAACCTGGGACATGTGGTCCTCCCAGGTCTGGCTAAAGACACAGATGTCATCAATATACGCCACGGCAAAACTCTCCATCCCCCTCAGGAGCTGGTCCACTAGGCGCTGGAAGGTGGCCGGCGCTCCCTTGAGGCCGAAAGGCAGGGTCAGGAACTCATAGAGCCCCAGAGGGGTGATAAAGGCCGATTTCAGCCGGGCATCTGCATCCAGTGGCACTTGCCAGTAGCCCTTTGTAAGGTCCATGGTGGTGAGGTACCGAGCTCCTCCCAGCTTGTCTAGGAGCTCGTCCGGCCTGGGCATCGGGTAGGCATCAGATACAGTGATGGCATTGAGCTTCCGATAGTCCACACAGAACCGGACCGACCCGTCCTTTTTGGGGACCAGCACCATCGGCGAGGCCCAAGGGCTGGCAGATGGCTGGATCACCTCCAAAGCCAGCATGTCCCGGACCTCTCTTTCCAGGTCCTGAGCAGTTTTCCCTGTGACTCAGAAGTGGGAGCATCTTATCAGTGGGTGCAACCCTATCTGCACCCGGTGGACAGTCAGATTAGTTTCAGAGGAACAGCCGTGTTAGTCTGTATTCGCAAAAAGAAAAGGAGTACTTGTGGCACCTTAGAGACTAACCAATTTATTTGAGCATGAGCTTTCGTGAGCTACAGCTCACTTCATCAGATGTTTACTGTGGAAACTGCAGCAGACTTTATATACACACAGAGAATATGAAACAATACCTCCTCCCACCCCACTGTCCTGCTGGTAATAGCTTATCTAAAGTGATCAACAGGTGGGCCATTTCCAGCACAAATCCAGGTTTTCTCACCCTCCACCCCCCACACAAATTCACTCTCCTGCTGGTGCTAGCCCATCCAAAGTGACAACTCTTTGCATAATCAAGTCGGGCTATTTCCTGCATAGATCAAGGTTTTCTCACATCCCCCCCCCCACCCCCATACACACACACTCACTCTCCTGCTGGTAATAGCTCATCCAAAGTGACCACTCTCCAAGTTTAAATCCAAGTTTAACCAGAACATCTGGGGGGGAGGGTAGGAAAAAACAAGGGGAAATAGGCTACCTTGCATAATGACTTAGCCACTCCCAGTCTCTATTTAAGCCTAAATTAATAGTATCCAATTTGCAAATGAATTCCAATTCAGCAGTTTCTCGCTGGAGTCTGGATTTGAAGTTTTTTTGTTTTAAGATAGCGACCTTCATGTCTGTGATTGCGTGACCAGAGAGATTGAAGTGTTCTCCGACTGGTTTATGAATGTTATAATTCTTGACATCTGATTTGTGTCCATTTATTCTTTTACGTAGAGACTGTCCAGTTTGACCAATGTACATGGCAGAGGGGCATTGCTGGCACATGATGGCATATATCACATTGGTGGATGTGCAGGTGAATGAGCCTCTGATAGTGTGGCTGATGTTATTAGGCCCTGTGATGGTGTCCCCTGAATAGATATGTGGGCACAATTGGCAACGGGCTTTGTTGCAAGGATAAGTTCCTGGGTTAGTGGTTCTGTTGTGTGGTATGTGGTTGTTGGTGAGTATTTGCTTCAGGTTGCGGGGCTGTCTGTAGGCAAGGACTGGCCTGTCTCCCAAGACTTGTGAGAGTGTTGGGTCATCCTTTAGGATAGGTTGTAGATCCTTAATAATGCGTTGGAGGGGTTTTAGTTGGGGGCTGAAGGTGACGGCTAGTGGCGTTCTGTTATTTTCTTTGTTAGGCCTGTCCTGTAGTAGGTAACTTCTGGGAACTCTTCTGGCTCTATCAATCTGTTTCTTTACTTCTGCAGGTGGGTATTGTAGTTGTAAGAAAGCTTGACAGAGATCTTGTAGGTGTTTGTCTCTGTCTGAGGGGTTGGAGCAAATGCGGTTGTATCGCAGAGCTTGGCTGTAGACAATGGATCGTGTGGTGTGGTCAGGGTGAAAGCTGGAGGCATGCAGGTAGGAATAGCGGTCAGTAGGTTTCCGGTATAGGGTGGTGTTTATGTGGCCATTGTTTATTAGCACTGTAGTGTCCAGGAAGTGGATCTCTTGTGTGGATTAGTGCGTCCAGGCTGGTTGGAAAACAGCTGTCGGTACGGATGCAGCACCCCCCTGACCTCAGCTTGCTGGGCAGGGGTTAGCTGATCCGAGAGGAGAATTGTTTCCAGGGGGGAACCAGCTCTGGTCCCAGGGAATAGATCTACTAAAGGCTCATCTCCCTCCTCCTCCCACTGTCCACACACAGCCAACACCACATTCCCCCTGGCACAATATGGCTTCATCATATTCACATGGTACACCTGGCGGTGGTGCGTCCGGTTAGACAGTTCCACCACATAGTTTACCTCATTGAGCTGCTTGACAACCTTGAAAGGGCCCTCTCAGGCAGCCTGTAGTTTGTTCTTTCTCACGGGGATGAAAAGCATCACAGTTGGAATGTAGCTTTAGATTTAGGATTTAAGGTTCGGGGATAGCCTTAGATTTAGGGTTAAGGTTACAGCAAGGTTGAGGTAAAAGGTTTGAAGCAGGTTTAAGACTAGGATTCCATGGGAGATGGGAGCCCAAAGTCCTTTGGAAATCCCAGTCTATTTACCTCGGAGATTCAATGTCCAAATGCTAAGAATAAAACACTTCCCCATGATTTCTCCTATAGCGACCTAGTTTTTATGTTCTTTAAAACATGGCTGCGAAGAAGAATCTAATCTTCATATATCCGAAGGCAGCTCTAGCTAGGGACGAGGGAGGAGTTTGGAACTCATAAAAGACACAGGAAACACGCTGGGTTCAGGTGAGTCTGCAGCTGACATCCTGCTAAGATTATAGGGAAAAGGATGGAGTTGTGGGTGAGGCACTTATCTGAGACTCAGGAGAGCTGGTTTCAGTTGCCAGCTCTACCACAAATTCCCTTTGAGACCTTCGTCAAGGCAGTTAGTCTCTCTCTGCCTCAGTTTCCCTATACGTAAAACAGAGATCCTAATATTTCTCTACCACACCTGGACTGTGAGGATACATCTTTGGAAGCACTCAGATGTTTTTTTGTGATGGGGTGATATAAGTAGATAGATACCCAGATAGCTTTACTGGGAATGAAGTTTGGGACTTTCAAAGGATGACTTTAATGAAACGTGGATGTCTCATTGACAGAGGCTCTTTAAAAATTCCCAGACATCATCCTAGCAATATGTTTTAAAAGACTCTTTTTCCTCCCTGGTTAAAATCTGAAATAAATAGAACCTGGAAAGATTCAAATGACATGTGTATTATACTTTTTACCAGTAGGTTGTGCTACCTTGTTATTTTCCCCAAATCTAGCTGGACAGCGTTGCTTTAATCACATGTTTCAGAGGAACAGCCGTGTTAGCCCTGGTCTACACTAGGACTTTAGGTCGAATTTAGCAGCGTTAAATCGATTTAAACCTGCACCCGTCCACACAATGAAGCCCTTTATTTCGACTTAAAGGGCTCTTAAAATCGATTTCCTTACTCCACCCCTGACAAGTGGATTAGCGCTTAAATCGACGTTGCCGGCTCGAATTTGGGGTACTGTGGACACAATTCGATGGTATTGGCCTCCGGGAGCTATCCCAGAGTGCTCCATTCTGACCGCTCTGGACAGCGCTCTCAACTCAGATGCACTGGCCAGGTAGACAGGAAAAGAACCGCGAACTTTTGAATCTCATTTCCTG